ACCAGGCAGGTGCCATCGAAGCAAATATTCATCAAGCTCTGAAACGCTGTTCTACACAAGCTTTACCATTCAAAAGTTACGGATAACCAGATAAAACTGACTGCCAATGGCTACCTTGTTCGTGTAGTTGACAAACAAACGTGTGTAAGGCCATGCCTGTGACGGGGGACAGTCCCGATGTCAGCATTTCAGGCATGGCTAGCAAGGTGCCCGAGCTACACAACGGACATGGGAGTGCTGCAGAGATTTGTCAAACGCAACGTTGGAACTAAAAGGCCCATGGTCAAGATATAATACATAATTTACAGCAATGGCCATGCTACGCCCACAATAATTAAGATTTTATAATACTGGAATTGATTCACGTGCATTTTCATAGGCTGCTTGCATAACATTACTCGTCTTGCCTCAGCTGACTCACTGGTGTATCACAACTCTCAGAGGTCATGCTCCGTAATGGTCCTTGGTAGGAGATCAGAGCACAAAGTTGTTAGGCGTTGAGCTGTGTGTAGGCGTTTGTCTTGATTTCCTACTGCATCATAACCTGGACATGTGTCAAAATGCAGCCATTTACAGTTCGAAATTTGCACCCCGCAGAAACCCGACAAGTCGCACCCCCCGTCCGGTAACAGGACTGTGACTCAGTACATGGTCAGCTGTAAACGGGCTGGCGGGAAAACAAATACTTGTCTAGCCTGTAATAATTCCAAGAAAGCATCAGTCACATCACGCCGCACTGAAAACAGCAATATGACCTTCTACCACAAATGTGAAAAAGAGTTCGTGTTTTCCTCCCTAGTGGTTGTTAATGCATTTAAACAATACGGTTCCGTTATATAGTAATGCCTTTGCAGAGCGACGGCTAATTGATGCACAGGAAGTGACGTCACCATGAGGACAGGCTGACCAGAGCAGATGTGACGAGGAACACGAAGATCATGGCAACAGAGAGCAACGATCGTCCACTAAAGACTCACGAATCAAACTGATCGGATAGCTGGATCCTACCATTAGACGGCAGTTCAACGTGCAGGAAATTCTGACAATCGGCGAGAGTCTCGCCGTAAACTAGAGAACGTAGCTCGGATGACCTCAAAATTTGGTAGCTAACGTGTGAAATGCGTACGAATGCTTTTGTAGCTGTAGAGATAACTCAGCTGCTGCGACTTTATTGTCAATGGCTCAGGTAAACAGAGGTCAAAAAAGTTAACGCCCGTCTCCCACAAAATACAAACGGTCTGATGTGTGTCTTAACCATCGCCTGATTCACCGCTTTTCATAACACGAACTAATAGAGTGGGAGAGGTGTGATGGGACCTTCAGCTCCTTATGTTTCAAAACAACGGAGATACAGCTTAGCGGAAAACACCAGTGGATCAGTCTCAATTGGCTCGCGCGATTGGTACTAGCTTTCATGCCATTATTTTAATAATTGACCCCACTATGGCAGGTCAAACGTCGAATTCTCCAGAAAAACACACCTTGTTAGATTTACATCCTACGCACGAGACCATGCCTTTTGGAAACATGAAACTTAAGCAGGCGTGCTCCTTGTTTAATTTTGAGTAAAAGGGGTATGCTTGTATGCGCTGTGAAGGCATATTTTTGGTGCATAACTCTATTAATTTAACAGTGTCGGCCCGCCGTGCGCGTTCCGCGGCATCAACGGTTGCCGCCCGCCGCCTACGCCGGCTGTTGATCGCCCTGCGGTATTCTTCAAAACCGTCATTGCTCCGAAACTAGAAAGTCTAGAAACACGTTTCTAGTGTCAAAACGCGTGCAGTAGATGTCCCATAGGGTACCAAAAATTTGGGTGCAATTGCAGCGCATGCCGGAGAGACGTCCTCAAAAATCTCAGGGGGCTGGATCACTCACTTCTATCAGGGTATCAGGTCAGGTTTTCAGAAGAAAGAAACCAGATCTAAAATATGCAGCTTGTTGATTTTTACCTTGAAGTACGTGCTGCCTACTATTAACTTTTGAGAGATTAAATTAGATTTCCTTCTTGCCAGCCAATAAGCCTATGATAGTAACTACCGAAAAAGAGGAATGGTTTCGAGGATTTTTTATTATTCATGCCAACGAAACAGCGATTTTGATAGACCACCTGTATCGTGATGTTACTGGCGTGCGCCTGAGACCGCCCCTGCTCGCGTCGCCATTGCTGCTGTACCTCGGTACGCCGCTGCCCCGACCGGCGGTGTACTGCATGGGGCGCCGCCCGCCGGGGTCGGCGCCGCCTGCTCGCCTCGCGTGTTAACACAGTTACCGTCTCGCAGCGCTCGTGTCTGGTTTCAATGACCGTAGTCTGACTGAAGGGAGCGCGAGCAGATAGGGCACGTAAGACTTGAATACCACCCTTGCCTTGTATACACAATCTTCTCGTAACATATTGATATTAAATGATCTAAGTGTCCATATTGTCGAAAAGAATTTGTGCCTGGTTGAAGTAATGCATCACTTCCATGGATCAAGACGCCATGTAACCAAACATCATATGGCTTACTTTTTATGGGGCACCGACTCAGTCTTCCTAATGGAGATGGCTTTCAAGAAATCAACCAGCCTACAAGCTATGGAAAATATATCAGCAAGACATTAATCCCAAAGGCATCCTGAATCTTACACAAAATGAGGTAGGTCCTATCCCCAACTTGGAGTTCTGCATTACCAAGCGTGATCCCACATATGATTTATGACACAATTTTGACCACTTGAAACACATTTACAGAATTTCCGCAAGCTAAAACACACAAATAATTCTGAAATTAGCATGCGTTGTTCACCTTTCAGAACATTTATCAAAAACATTTTCAAATAAGCGCACTTGAATATATCAGGCATATATTGGAAGGCACCAAGACTTAAAACAGCTCTAGATTTCTGGTAGCAGCTCTCACCTATTGGCAAAGCATGACAGAGATATCAATAGGATGCATCAGTCAGCCAGAATATTGCCCCAAAAGCAGCATTCCCTCGCTTCATTTATGGCACTTCTTGCCAGCAAGTGCAAAATATGCAGGCTTCTACTGACAACTCTCACTACTCACACACCGAACGTTACATTCAAATTTACCTACACTTACCAGCTCCTCACAATCCCTATAGCAAAATACACATCGAGACATTAGCCCAGATGATTTACAATAGTTAACGCCGTAACGGCACAATTGAAGGGAGTGTTTCACATTTATATCGGGTTTTCAATTAGAAGAGCCATCTCGAAGACCTTTCGTCCGGCTCACAATCCTGCCCTTCTCAAGACTTAAGCTCCTCCAGTTTCTGAGCTACTCGCCCGCGAAAATGGAGAAAGGTATATCGGGGAGAGTATTTTAAAGTCACCCTGACATTTATGACGTTGTAATAACGTAATTCAAATCCTGCCATTTTATCAATTATGCGGTGATTAAGGCTGAGAAAATGTAATTGTAAATGGGTTCATATCTGGTGCTCGTGAGCACGATTCCCGGGTATAAAGGCCGCTAATTGGCTCTCAATGTTCCGAAAGGTACGATAACGTAATCAAACTATGACGCTCTGAAGAACATATTTGCTAAAGAGAGAGTTGTGCTGTCCAGTTTGCTTGTTACATCATATCTGATGCTTGCTTTGATATCTTCGAATGTAAAACATTCCCTTTAGTGCAAACCGCGCTGCTTTGACAAGTCATGCACAACGATAATAATGGCGTCATTAGTTTTTGAATCTCCATTTCTGCATCGCATCTTTTTTGTCAATGACAAAGGACATTGAATTACTTATTTGATTCCTCCAGTAAACAAAGCTGATGCACAAATACAGCTTGAGGGCTATGTAGCAACGTGTAAGGCCTATTGTGAGTTTATGTCTTCGGTGAGCAGTTCATTCTTCACGCTGAGGAGACAGCGCAGTAAGGGCGAAAAGCATATTGAAAACTGAGTATAAAGACCCTTCAGTAAACTGGGAGACAGCGGAGTGTGCCCAAAAGTTTTCACGAGTTGTCTACACACAGGCAGTGCTGGAAAAGGTTCAGGCCACTGAAACATATTTTCCCCTTTCGGCGCTGTAATGCGCTCAATTGCATCGCAATGGGCATCTCGTGAAGAAATGGTATGGGAAGAGTTTTGAACAATGAGAGCGTTTCAGTCTCTTTTCATGAAAGGTAGCCATTGATATGAGTCTCTCATGCTCGTGAGCAAGTGGTTGTCTGCAGTGGAGTGTCTGCAGAGCTTCAACTCTGCAGATCAAGGCCAAGCGTTGGTCTCGCGCAGTTTTACGCAAAATGTTTGTGTTATAGTTTGTATCTATCATGACTAATGGAATGATGCCAAATCAATAAACCAACGAAACCGATAGCGACATACAGGTTAAAATTCTTTCAAAACGCTCGGTTAACGCTCGATTAGTTCGACATTTGATTCCAGTCCAACGGAATAAGCTGCTTCCCGCTCCCCAAATATAGTAAAGACTGCATTACATTCTTGGGGCTTTGGTTTCATTTGGATCACTGCTCCTTCGACCGTCAGTGACCGTTGAGACAGAGTACATGAAATGAGGGAGGCTATATAATGGTGGGTCATAACTACATGCACCCATGGTATCCCTCTACCATAATTTAGCCGCACGGAGACTCTCCCCAGGATATGTAAGCTTGGATCGGGCCAAGCTCACGCCTTGTTATTTGTTCCGTATGGGCTGAGGCGTTAAACGTCTCATGAAGCTGCCATTTTTGGGCCGCCGTTGTTAAACGTGTCTTTAGCGTATTCATGCACGCCCCATGAAAACACTGAATAACACAGTAACGAATGCGGGGTGACACAACCCCGCGCACGAGACACTGGAAGTTGACAGCCTTCGCCATCTCTACAAAAGTAGGCGAAGTCTTATTTCAGTAGCCGACCACCAGGTTTCCGGCCCGCTAGCGTGGTACCGTACCTCGTGACGTAATAGGTCAACGCCCTCGCTCAGCTGGTGGCGCTTCCAAGGTCCGCTCGGCCGCGCTAGTCACCGAATCGTTCACCTCCATGTGGACGCACGGCTGCACGGACTGCCAGCATCAGCAGCTCACTGCTGTCGTCAGCCCGCGCTGTGCTGTGTTCGCCCCTGGCCGGCGCGGGCGCCGACGGCATCCGTCCAGCGGCCCGGGCGCTGAGGCCGGCCGGGGTCGGCGGGCAGAGCGGACCCGGCCGCCGGCCGCGGCACGGCTGACTGCCACCAGGCTTCCTGCAGCTGAGCGTCAGCTGAGCCGGTCCCCAGCCGCCGGAATACCACCCCTGCTGGACGCAGAGTCCAGCGGGCCCGGCGCCGTCGCCGTCCGAAGTGGCTCAACGCGATCAGGTGTGTAGCTGTGCCGCGTGTTTGATTGCGGTTTGCCAACATGCCGTTTTTAGAGTGAAGTGTTTTGCTGCTTGTTTCGATGACATTGCACCGTTGTTTTTGGTGTATTAGCAGGCATTGATTGGTCTACTTTGGAACTGTCACACAATCCGTTTCTCGTTTGTGACAGCGTTAAACATACATACAAGTCATGATGGCATGTTCATGATTCGTATTATCATGAGAGTTCAGATGATGCACTTTGCTCACTCAAGCGGCTGCCTGTTCGTTAGGTGGGGTGGAGTGGAGCTTTATCATAGCATACCATAGGTACTCCACATGTTGAGCCGGATTTTAACAAGGGGGGGGGGGAGGAACCCGGCCATGGCTGTCATGGCCGTCACAAACCCCGAGGGGCGCCGAAGTTTTTAAGAGCTGGTGCTTTTCGCGCAGTAAACACCTCAACACATTCAACATGCGCAGGCACTCGCAGAGGTATTAGAAACGATACATCGTGAAGGCCGCTACACAAGGACATACACCGCTACATCAAGGCCTCCGGACAGGGCCGCCACACAGGGTCGTGCAGGGACGGAAGCCTCTACGGGGAGGTTACTCCTTCGCGAGCTGGAGCGGCATATGCTTGTCGACTCCCACATCGACGTACAACATTCAGAGGACACCATCAGAAAAATGCCGCCACTTTTCTAAGAATGTCTGCTTCTTACGCTCGCTTCTTAAAGCAATTATTCATTCGGCATGAAATGATTGCTTGATCCGTGTACGGAAGCCACTTAGAGAAAAAACTTCCATCCAACCACCCCACCCTATATTTCTCCTCTTTTCGCATACTCTCCTGGCTCGACCAAATTTTTTGCCTTTGTACACGCGTAGTATTCTGTAATTCCACTAGAATTCGCAGTATTCGAACGGTAATTCTAACAATAGCCGTAGGCTGCCTCAGTCCAAATAAATACCAGCTGTTTGCTTGGCAGCAATAATTCAATTATGTATTGTACTGCGGCTTGATGGCGTAATTATGGGCTGCTAGCTTACTATTCAATAGGCTGTTGCTTAGATTCCTTAAACCTCGGCCACGTTCACTTTTTGCCGCTTCTATTTGTAGCGCTATATTAAAGTCACTGAAGCTACCCGGTTCTTTACTTCATTACTGACTTAGTAGACTAGTGATTCAGTCTGCCCCAATACCTGCTGAGTAAGGTTAAAACACCTTCACACAGGAATTCGCCATTTCGTGGCCGCGCTTATTCCGCCACGGAGTTGCATTTGTGTAAGTTTGGCTTCCCTGAATACCCTTTTCTCGTTGGAGCCCATTTTGATGCTGCACCGGTGCCATGTTCACCAGCAGCCTTGGCTCCGGCTGGCCGACTTGGGGAGCACGGCTGTCAGGGCAGGCATGCTACGCCCCACATGTTTTGCGCAGCGGGCGCGCGAGGCTCGACGCGGCTGTGCGCGACAGACCGGAACAAGACGTGACTTGCGCGAGGCACGTCCCATGCAACAGTCAGGTGCACAAGCTCGGGCTCGGTGGTCCGACTGTGTGGGTCGCAGGCACCGTGACTGCTAAACAAAGTTGCTGTTTAGGAACGTGGGGAGCGGCCGCACACCAACCGGTACGCTTGGCGTGGGCGCCCTGCCGGCGGCGGTCGTAAGCCATAAGGAACTCGTGCAGAAAAACTGGCTGGTAAATTATCTAGATTGAGCAGAACCGTAAGCAACATTTTGCAGCGGTGGCACAGCACAGCAACCTGTTCTGACCAAACATGCAGCACGTCTTGTATGGTGCATGGCACCATCGAATTTTTTCAGTCTGCCCATTTTGGCGTGCCCACCTCGGTTGGTTCAATGTTCCTTCACATGCATACTAATGCGAATCACGTTTTACACGCATACTTATGCGTTTCTGGTGTCGTGTTTCTTTACATGCATGCTAATGCGTCTAAAAGCATCACAGGGGCGGGGTACGTAGCTTGCCGCCCCCCCCCCCCCCCTAACGAATACGACCCTAAATTTCAGTATCATGTCGAGCCTTTCACGGAGCAATGAATTTTCAACTGGCGTATTTCTGTGCAGCTATATGGTCACCCATTTATTGGAAGAAGGGTATTAAGATATTGTTCAAGAGCTTAAATATCTGACAACTTAGGGAGCACTTTGATTTCACGCCAAACAAACTGCCTTCATTGCTTAGTTACTTTATATTATGATGTCGTTAAAAGCAAAATGACATTGAATGATTCCATCCCTTTGAACTCCGCATTCGTCGTTCCGGGGCGAAGACTCGCCACCAACAGACGAGCCACGCTGCTCATTGCCAGCTGCATCCTCGGCCCGTACACGTAGTTCAACTAGAAAAACCACAACTGTTCATAGATTGGAGCGGCCAGTGAGTTGCACTCTATCTACGGGTCATTAGAGTTCACAAATACCGTTTGTTTTAGAATATTATTGAACCATGCACGACTAAGCTACCACACGACTAATACCGTGTTAAAATATTTTCTACCCGTCTACAGTGTGAGACAGCCGATGACCTGCTGTCAGATGCTGCAGCCGTGCAACTGTCACGATTACTCAGGCGGCGCTGTCCACCACAGGTGGCTCTCCATTCGCTCCAATGCATGTCGCACACGTGCTGGTACACTCATGGCCTCATTCAGTGCCGTGCCTTCCCGGCAAACTCCTGCTGATCACTGCGACAGCGCATGCCTGGGTTGACACATACCGCTGATAGAAGGTTCGGCCCCCCCCTTCACGCACGCACGCACGCACACACGCACGCACGCCGCTGGCTGTTGTTTCCTTCCAGCTGTTCCATTGGCAGTTTTGACGATTGATGGACGGAGTTTCGGTGAACAATTTGTTACAGGTTTTGGTGATTGCACGGCCCCTTCCCCCCCCCCCCCCAACCGGTGTATTGTCAGGCGTTCGCTAACAAGGACATAGCTATGGCATTAGCGTTTACTGTGAGGAACCTTGCCCAATTAACTGTTCACTGAAAGGGGTAATTAGTTTTGCTATTCCTTACGCGTGTCGGGGCCACCTTAGGGGAAAGTTGGAGCTTCATCCGGTATCCTGTGGTCAATATGTTTTAATTAACACGCGCCGGGTGGCCGGCTGGATACCGTTCGCTCGGGCGGGGGGAGGGTCAATTTGACTTCCCCCGCTGAGATCTCGGGAACTAAGATAGCTAGAGACACGAAATTTACAGGGTGTCTTGACATGTACATGAACTCACTTTCAAGGTTTCAGGTTCCTATGTCAAGACCTTCGGGTTAAATGAGGTCAAACAAGGTCAAATTCCATGTTGGTCTCCAAAGTGCTCCCAGAACCTAGGTAAACGTTTATAAGCAAAAGGTCACATGCTCATTTAAAGTCAGTGACCTTGTTTGACCTTTTGAAGGTCATGGTGACCAAAATCATACAAGCTGCTCTGAGTTTTGCATTCAAATAAGCGACAACGATTACGCTAGGCAGTATGTTCCAAAAAACAAAATGTTGACCTGGGCCATTTTAGGTCAATGACCTATTCTGACCTCTAAGAAGTCCACGGAAGATGTATCATGTGGTTACTGCTAGCAATGAATTCGAAATGAGCACTAGAAACTACCTTATACATCAAACCCTAGAGCAATAAAACAGGTTGGTTTTGACCTTGGTCTGACTTTTGCACCTGGCCATAGGTCAATGCAATTGTCTCATTCAAAAGTTGTGTCGCCTAAGAAAGCAGCTCAAAGATTATGGCCCCGTCTAACACTCCGTTGTTGCATCAGATTAAGCGATTCCCTAGAAATTGACTTCGCTGAAACTATGGCCTGATTTTGACCTGACATAGGTCAGCGACCTTACAAGTAACAGTTATATTTTTTGGTGCCAAACGATCCGTTATTCAATTGTCTACAGCTATGCAAAATTTGGAGTGGCCGCGTCGCGCCGTTCGGAAACCGTTCCGGAAAAACCCTCGGGGGGTCAATTTGACTCCCACCCGAGCGCGTGCTGATTTAGCTACGTTCTTTTACCTTTATGGGAGTTCAACGACTCGCTATTAAATCAAAGGTTTCAGACTGCAATGGAGAGGTGCTCCGCCGTGTGCAGTTCAGAAGGATATCATTCAATAACACGCAGTCTTATCCTAAGTCAATATCACGTTGTAGGATAGCTATTTATCACTTTTTATGCTCACGAAGAACAAATTTTCATGAAATTAACTGCCCAGCATTAGTTGACATGCAGCCATTCAACAGACATTTGCGCGCACATTGGGTGCGAAACAACAATTTAATAATATGCACGCATGTGACGGTCCTAGTGATTACGCATGCATTTTCTACACCACAGTTGCAGCAAGCTTATCCTCACTGTTATTTTTACGGCGCGTTTTCTGTACATAATTGAAGCAGTTTGCTTTTAGCCTCAATCCCAAACAAGTATTGGTCAATGCGAATTGGTTATTATGAGTTATTTAACATGAGTGCGCATCGTTGAGTATTATGGATCATGTTTATTTTACTGATTACAATGGTTGGTGCCATCACATGGAAATGAGTTGAAAAATGTTGTACGATGCCAAATCCATGCCAAAATTTCTGGCGAGACACACTCAAGTCAGATAAAAATCGTAGTTTCAATGAAGCACTGTTTTACTCGGGAGGGGGGGGGGGGCTACGCTCTATATCGAGGAATTAAAAATGCAAATGTGATAGGTTGTGCAATTTGGCTGAATGCTTGGCCTCCAAACCCCATAACTGGATTCGTTGATGTAGCCGGATATGTACCGCAGCATACGCACCACACATATGTTTGTCGTGCGGAGCAGTGCACACACCATCACTAGGGCATGCCTCCTCTCGCGATATATATCGTGTTTGCTCTCACCACCAACTAAGCAGGAAAAATGTGCAACAAACTTTACACATCTATGGCCATAAGCAAAGGTTTGAGAAGTTTAGCTGATGGGCCTCGGAGCACAGAAATGACTGAAGTCCTTCATGGCTAACCTCGTTCTCGTCCCCACAACCAAATTTACGTTTCGCCGCTCATGGGCGCTTCATAGAGGAGTGCCTTGGGCGCCCTAAGGCATGCTCCAAAGGGGCGCCTAAACTTTCCCATCAGAAGAGGCGCGTGCCTCTAGTGTCCCCCCCCTCCCCCCTCCTCTAGATTCGCCCCTGCATGGCTACTATGCTGCGTACCGTTCGCCCTGACAGAAGGAGAGCGATGCGATCCTCTTCAGTTTTTGAGGATACCTCTCTGGCATAATTCGCAGTCGCGTCAACCTTTTCTGTAACGTACAAGGTATACATTGCGTGTGTTTTGACACAAAGTGCCCCTAGCTTTTCTGGCTTCGGAACAGCGGCGGTGGTTTTTTAGGAACACTGCACGGCGATCTACGGCCTGCGCGGGCGGCAGGCGGCCATCGACAGCGCTGCGGAACACAGCGGTGGGCCGACATTCCTACGTGAACCGGGCAATACGTATTGACGATATGGTCCGAACATATTAAACTATGCACTATTGTACTCAAAACTGGACAAGGCACGCGCCTGTTAAAACTTAATGTAACTATGAGGCGCAGCATCGCATATCTAGAGCTGTTAACCTAGAAAGTGTAATTTTCGGAAAAATTGACTTTCGGGCTGACTTTTTTGGATTAATTTTTGACCTAGCCACATACAAATTAATGCTAATCGCCCGACCTCGTTCGGATCAATCCACTGGTGGTTTCTACTAAGCCCGATCTGTCTTAGTATGGAAACGCCAGGGGGTCGCATCGACCCCCTCCCGCTGTTAGTTCGCTCCATGAAAACGGCGAATCAGGGCAAGGATGGAACTGAATATTTGTTCGATAACATGAAAATAGAATTTGAACATATGGACTGTCTTTCATCAAGTCGAGGAAACATTGGGGAGGGGGGTAGGGCGTCGGGGCCCCGTTCGGCCACCTAATCATTTACAAAAATTTACGTCTCTGGCGGGAGTCAAACGATTCAAGATTGCTTTTTGTCGCCCAATTGATATGTCAGGAAGATCGGTCAATTTTTTTGGGAGACACCCTGCAGAGGGTTCCAGTAAGCAGCCAGTGGAAGCTTTTGACATGTGTTATCCCATGAAAGACATGAATAAATGAGCCCATTGGCTGTCATAGCCGGTGGATGTCACGCATGCGAGCATGCTGATACCCTGCAGAGGATTCCAGAAAGCAGTCACTGGAAGCTTTGGACATGTGTTATCCCATGAAAGACATGAATAAATGAGCCCATTGGCTGTCATAGCCGGTGGATGTCACGCGTGCGAGCATGGAGCCTTAATGTGATACAGCCGCGCGGGTCTGGGTGATAAAACAAGGCATCTATCAGAGCATACCTGCGACAGGCTCGGGTGAGGGCTATGGAATGTGCAAAATAAGACAGCCCCGTGGGACCTCGGGTGAGGGCTATGGAATGTGCAAAACAAGACAGCCGCGCGGACCTGCACTTGTAGCTTCATATTGCCTTAATCTGACCAAACGTCATAGCAATTACGCCATAATGCGAAAGTTAATCAACATACAGGTTTTGAAAAATTGGTTCGTCTACTTATAACGGTTTGAAACTGTTTCCCGAAACTTTGAGGCGGCCCACTCTAAGCCACCCTACAAGCGGTCGCGGATAAACAATGAGTGGTGAACATAGCAACAGTCCAAATAGCTAATCCCTGGGAAGACTAGATTTTACCAGACACATTCAAGTGTTGCTAGCTGGGTTCAGCAGGAACGAATTTTGAGTTGTCCTCTGTGCAGGCGTGCTGCGGATGAAAAGCTACGTTAATTCTCACCTTTCCAGACCGTCTCGTCCTGAATATTGTTTTCCATATGTTCCAGGTGTAAGCGCACTGGCCAGTCATGATGGCCAGAAGGCTGCTGCTGCTGGCTCTGCTGTGCCTCTGCTTTTACATGCTAGTCCTGTTGCGATCGCTGTCCAGCGCTGTGGATGGTCGTCGTAGAGAAGCGCCATCTGCACCCTTTGAATACAACAAGGCGGCGTCACCACAACAGCCAGATCACCAAACAGCGGCACCGAAAGACGCCGGCCCACACCTGGCAACGCCACCTATAACTCAGAGCCAGCACAGAGTACCAGCACCTGTCGGTCAGATCCTTCGGTCGGTAGCGCCACCTATGGCCGCTGACCGCTCGCCCGATGCTGGCTCGCTCCAGCGGCCCGCACGACAGCAAGGTTCGGGGGCCCAACGGCCTTCTGAGTCGGCGACGCCGTCCGCACACGAGCTGTCGCTAGCCGCGCAGGCGGCGGGTCTCCAGAACACTGCGCAGCCGGCGAGCATGCCGGCGGCCGCGCCGAAGCTCAAGCACATCCTCTACTGGAACGAGTTCTACGGCTCCATGGAGTTCACGTGGGGCGCCGGTCAGCGGCCGTTCATCGACAACGGATGCGAGGTCAACACCTGCTTCGGCACCAACGACCGCGAGCTGATGCCCGTGGACGAGTATGACGCCATCCTGTTCCACGTGCAGACGCTGCCGTTCTTCGACTGGCCGCGCTCGCGCCGGCCGCACCAGCGCTACGTGTTCGTCACGCTCGAGTCGGCCCAGTACCTGACCATATGGCTGCAGGCCTACGAGAGTCTCTTCAACGTGACGCTGACCTACCGGCGCGACTCGGACTTCCCGTACCCGTACGGAGCCCTGGTGCCGGTGCTGCCGGAGCCGCCCACCATTCGCAGGAACTACGCTCTCGGCAAGACGAAGCTGGTCGCCTGGTTCGTGTCGCACTGCCAGACAATGAGCAGCCGCGAGTGGTACGTACACATGCTGCGGAAGTACATCCCGGTGGATATATACGGTGCCTGCGGGACTCTCCAGTGCCCGCGCTCCGCCAATCAAACCTGTCACAATACGCTGCTTAACAAGGACTACAAGTTCTACTTGTCGTTCGAGAACAGCATCTGCAACGATTACGTCACAGAGAAGCTGTTCGACACACTGAAGTATGACGTGGTGCCGATCGTGCTCGGAGGCTCCAACTACTCCAGCTACGCCCCACCGGGATCGTATATAGAGGCGATGAAGTACAGCCCGAAAGAGCTGGCTGAGTACTTGCTAGAGCTGGACAAGAATGATGCACAGTACAACAAATATTTTGAGTGGAAGGGCAAGTACCGAATAGCTCCTAAGGACGATTTTAAGAAGTCATCATTCTGCGGTCTGTGCAAATATTTGCACAGCAACGAAACGAAAGCGTATCACCATCTGAAGGACTGGTGGACAAAAGGACAGTGCAAAAAATTGAAACGGTCACAGTGAAGAAACTTTCCAGCCATGATGTCCTCAAATTAGGTTTGGGAAACTGGGTTTAGGGTTTTGGCAAAATGGGGTTTGCCCTGAATCTGATATCGGCACCGAGTACTTCAAGCTGTGTATTGTTATGCTTTGAAGTAGCAGAAATCGTGATTGTGTACATCATATGCTTGAAATTAATAAGTTATGTGGTTGAAACGGTCTTGCGCCACTGCCAATACTACCCCCTGCGTGCGGTGTCCTCAATAGTTTATCGAAGCCAACAAAGAATCGTCAGGCGCCATACAAATATAACAAAACCTTCAAGGCTGTGGGGAAATTTGTTCTCCCCATCACTTGTATCAGGCACCGCTTATGCGTATCTTATTAGCACACGATTCTGAAGCATTGTGATAGATGCCTTGCCGGAGTAACTTAGGATCGTGATATGTACAACGCTAGCTTGTGGGAAATTCTGCAACTTTTTCAACTGCATATATATATATATATATATATATATATATATATATATATACTCGCCAGTATATTTAATAAACTGCAACTCGCTCTTGGCGTGATGGGCTACTGGCATTTCTCATCGGAACTTCCCGTTGGGTTGTTGGTGCCTTCTGCGTTTTTTATGGGGGTTTCCATGTGTCTGAAGAGCCTTCTTTGGATCGTCTGGGACTTCCTGTTGATCGAAAGGACCTGATGCTGCCCATCTAGGGCCTACTACGAATATATGTGGGCACCACTACTCCGAAGGTATCCTCTTTTTGGCTATTTCGTAGCTTCAAAAGGCAGCGTCGTTACCCGCTGCTTTGTTACTGTGCAGAAAATAAAACGGGCGTTACTTGTAGTCTGTTAATCCGTCATCTCTTAAAGCATTTACAAAAACTGCAATAACGTGCTGTCACATTTCCTTAGTTGCATCCAAAGAAGCCTTGGTTGGTTTGGGAATGTACATCGGAGATGCTGTCCACTGGCGGTGTCAAGAGCCACTGCAGCCGATGGACTGACTCACTTTTATTTTGCCGATCTCCCGTGAGGTGGCCGTGGTGGTGCTGGAGGCGCTTGCTGAATCAAATGTCGTTATGCACTCATGTTTTGACCTGTTTTCGTGGTGTTCTTGTATATTTGTTCGTGAGTTTAAGGTGTTTTCTTGCATACACCCACTCGCTTATGGCGCTTTGTTTTACATTCCATCACAAGTCGTATTTCCGTAATAGCTGGTGCCACTGCCCAACTCTCTGTAGTATGTAGCAAAACACGTCATTCATGACCGAAACTTGCACTGAGTTTATAACATCCATCGAGAGCCAAGAGAACTTCATTGTATCATGAAACCATGCTTATGTTCGCCAGGCATGAATGACTCGACGATTTTATTTGTTCTGGCATTGGAAATTGCGTGGCCAATGAGATGGCAGAGTTTGAAAGACATTTCGGTGGCATCTTGCATGCCTGAGTATCCTTGAAATAGTTTTGCACGAAAGTCTGAAAAAACTTCGCGGGCAGCTCGGAAACTAGAGGGTTTAAGGTCTTCAGAAAGGCAGGGCTGTGAGCTGCACCGAACATTCTTCGAGATGACTTTTGCAGTTCAAAATCCCATACGAATGTGGATGACTCTCTTTGACCGAGCCTACCATCGCAAATAAGCATGCGCACAATTCCATTGCTCATCCGTTTCCGGTCGCGTCTCGTAAGGTTGCATTCTCACAATAACTCGAAAAGTTTGGTCCACCTTCGAATCACCTATATCCATCACGCCACGGCAGAACCATCACGACAGAATCATAATAGAACCATCCGACACGTAGCTGGCGGTTTTAACGTCGGGCTCTCTCAGGACCGTTGCCAGCCGCCTGCGGCTTGCCCTCCCATGTACGGCCGGCAGTCTGCTGCACCGCGCCCTTCGCAGCCCAGGCCCCACCTGCGGCGTCCACAGAAGGTCCGCCCGGACGCCGCGCCCAGCGGCCCACGCAGGTGACCCGGCCACGGCTCCGAGGGAACTTTCCGGCTGTTACATGAAGAAATGGCCGCCTGCTGGGCGCCGTTGGGTGGCTCATATTATGTATTAATTACCATATTGAGATGCGTGCTGTGATTTTAGACATAGTGTCTATTCTTCAAATGGTAGTTCTACGTGAAATAAATACCAAACAGTGAATACATGCGTGGCGATATGCTATGAATGCCCGCATAAATGGGTCTGTATGTCGTCCAGTTAATCAGACCACTAAAGAGGTCACCGTACAGATGCAGGGGGCTGGTACCATTGCCGCCTGGCTTGTGGTGTTTGTAAGAGTTACGCTCTCCGTGGCCGTATTCAGGAGAGGCTGCCGGATGATTTCAGAGCCGATGCTATCGGAGCCGCGCGCGTGGTCCGGGGCGGCCCCGCCCTGCCGCCGCCCGCTCCTGATCGTATCTCGTCTCATTACGTCCACCGGGCAATGGCCAACACACCACATGTCCCTCCCACTGTGCATCCTGCCTAATTAACTGCAGATGCTATCAATAGACTCCCACTTCATGGTCAGGAATATATTTAGGAGTGCAATGTATTTCCTAGACGTGGCCAGATCGTCAATCTAGCAGTTCTGTAGATGCAACGGCTAATTTAATCCATGCTGTTGGTGGTTGGTGCCAAGATGGACGGACCTCACTACTTGCATATGCTTTTTGGCTCAGCTGGAATGGCAGCAGGCCGTGCTAGGTTAACCATTTTTACCACAAAACAGCGATCATCAAATTTCCCTATTTCTCAACTTATGTCGGGTCTGAGAAAGATCAAATGACTACGTGTTGCAAACACTTCGTACTATAATCGACGGACTTCGTCACTTTTATATCTTTTTTTCTTTATTCAGCGGGATTAGTGTTAGCTAGCTTTTGTTCCCGGGCAAATGTCAACGCAATTTCGCCTTATGCCACAGTGGTCTTAAAGGTGTTCCACATCTTTATAGAGTTTTGAACTGGGATAGCTATTTGAGCTTCAATGCAGTTCAAAACTATTCCATTTTATGACATAAAACTCTCTTGTTTCTGGGCTTGACGCACGCGGGCTTGTGCGGTCTGTTTCACACAGCCTATTTGAAGGTGACCCATGCATGCATGGCGTCATAGAAACGTCACACGAATACCGTCTCCTCAATGGCCATGTATTGCTCAAGGTCAAGGGAAATATACCAACGAAGTATTTGTATCTGTGGTACGTCAGCACGACCTATGGCAGCAACGGGCAGTACTTGACATTCATTTAGTGTAATGCGTTGAGCGCAAGTGTCGAGCACGAACCACGTTTTGTGCTACATAGTACAGTAATTCGGAATTGGTACAAGTTATGACAGAATGAGACTGGGAATCGAATGACTTCAGAACAGCGCCGTATCCAAGTTTGTGAGTGAAAGTAAGAAAAGTAGAACCACGGACAAATATACGAAATCACCACGATAAATAGTCAAAACACGCGCACATATTGATATCCGGGCTCAGAAAGCATGCGCCACCTCTCTGCAGGTTGGAGTGAGTCACAAGTGAGTCAGCCCGTACGATGACGCATCGAGAAAATATTTACGAGATAGTGAAATTATCTTTGCTAGAGCAGTCTTTTGCAATTAAGAGCTCACTAACAGTTGCAAGTGAGTGTGTCCTTCATATATCATGCTTGAACCAATATGTTCAAATGTGGAACGGTGTCTAATGTGAGCAGACCCCGAGAAACAACTCTGTCGTTTTGGGAATATTGGACGTGGTAATAACAGTAATGCTTCACGCCAATTGACTTTCCAGATAACCCGAAACACACGTGACCGTTGTGAGCTCACATTGGAGAGGTACCAACTGGCACGTGGATTGTGACTGTCGAAAGGCTATCCGGCTCTTAATATCTAAACACGTAGCTTCGATACCCACGATACAGCGGGAGAACACAAGACGTCAGAAGCCTAGCGCCTAAACCACCACCACCATCGTGCCTTCGCAGCCTGCGACTACGATTCGTAAGCAAGCGTCAGGCCTGAGGCCTGACCCGAGTCCGATCGCATCGACCCGTCCCTTCCCGGTCTGAGCGAGGACCCGCGCCGCGGACGTGGTCCGAGCGAGGCAAGGAGGCGACGGCCTCTGTCAGATGCGCTGGACAGTCGTGACCGCTGGCCACGGCGGAGGCGGCACCCGGCGGGCCGACGTCACGTCACGGCACGTCACGTACGGGGTAACAGATGGCACCTGCAGCCACATCTGGACGCATTCCCCTGTCAGGTATTACCTCCATGCCATACTAACCTGGGTACTATCTAGGCACTATCCTGGGCACCATCTCATACCAGGGTACCATCTCACTGTCTGATCCGGGCCACAACTTCCTCTCACGTCCAGATACCATCTCGCTGCAGCACTCGGGTCACTCCTCATCAAACCTGCGACACCGTCTAACCGCGCCACAACGCTCCAATGTTTATCAGATGGCGTGGGCGGCGGTTTGCATTCGTACCTTCGCCTTCGTCAAATACGTATTTCATCTAATTGTTGGTTGGCGTGCTGCGCTTGTCCACGGCGATACCCATTGTCACGGATGCGGCCAAGGCCGGTAGACGCTCACCAGTGGGGTGTTTGTACCCCGGGGCTCACCCGGGCAGGCTGGTGGCCGCTGGAGGCCGGGTTTGATACGAAGCAGCGGTTGTCTAAAGTCGGAGTCTGTCAGGGCACGTGCCTGAACGGCAGTCTGAAGTCGGGACCGGCACATGGTAGCGGCAGTCTGGAGCCGGGGCTAACACATCCAGCGTCTGTCCGGGTCCAAGACTGGCACGTACCAGTGGCAGTCTGGGGACCGTGACTGACACGCACGAGCGGCAGTCTGGGGAACGTGACTGACACGTACCAGTGGCAGTCTGGGGAACGGGACTGACACGTATCAGCGGCAGTCTAGAGAACGTGACTGACACGTACCAGCGGCAATCTGGGGAACGGGACTGACACGTACCAGCGGCAGTCTGCAGAACGTGACTGATTTGTACCAGCGACAGTCA